CCTATATAGCTAGGTACATTATACAACCTATATAGCTGGGTACATTACACAACCTATATAGCTAGGTACATTATACAACCTATATAGCTGGGTACATTACACAACCTATATAGCTAGGTACATTATACAACCTATATAGCTAGGTACTTTACACAACCTATATAGCTAGGTACATTACACAACCTATATAGGTAGGTATATTATACAACCTATATAGCTGGGTACATTATACAACCTATATAAGCTGGGTACATTACACAACCTATATAGCTGGGTACATTATACAACCTATATAGCCAGGTACATTATACAACCTATATAGCTAGGTACATTATACAACCTATATAGCTAGGTACATTATACAACCTATATAGCTGGGTACATTACACAACCTATATAAGCTGGGTACATTACACAACCTATATAGCTAGGTACATTATACAACCTATATAGCTAGGTACATTATACAACCTATATAGCTAGGTACATTATACAACCTATATAGCTGGGTACATTACACACATCAGAACATGTGGAAATCCAAAACACATGGAAATCCAAGACATAAATCTGAATATACTGAAATTAAAAACATACATCGCACAGGTGGTACCCCCCCCCCCAAAAAAAAGAAAAAAAACAATTCTGTGCATGCTGAAACCTGTAACACACATCCGAACATACTGAAAACAGAAACGCACATCTGTAAGGTGAAAACCCAAAACTAACTTCTGGACAAACGTACACTAAAGAAACACACACACACATGTACAGACGAAAACTTACACATCTCAATATGCTGAAATCATTCAAAAAACACACACATCTGGATATGCGGAAACCTAAAACATACTGAAACCAAAAACACGCACCTGGACATGCCGAAACTCTAAAAAAAAAACGTACAGTAAAGTACTAAAAGATTGGAAAGGATTTTTGAAACTAACTGCATGCTTGGTTTATTATAAACTATAACTTAAAGACTGGAAAGGATTTTTGAAACTAACGGCATGCTTAGTTTATTATAAACTGTAACTTAAAGACTGGAAAGGATTTTTGAAACTAACTGCATGCTTGGTTTATTATAAACTATAACTTAAAGACTGGAAAGGATTTTTGAAACTAACGGCATGTTTGGTTTATTATAAACTATAACTTAAAGACTGGTAAGGATTTTTGAAACTAACTGCATGCTTGGTTTATTATAAAATATAACTTAAAGACTGGAAAGGATTTTTGAAACTAACGGCATGCTTGGTTTATTATAAACTATAACTTAAAGACTGGAAAGGATTTTTGGAACTAACGGCATGCTTGGTTTATTATAAACTATAACTTAATTATTCTTTTTATTTAGACAATTCTGTATCACGTCTATTTAAAATGACATATATAAACTTATTACTCAGTCTGCTGTCCGGGATTTCGATACCCGTGGTGGGCGTAGCACAAATAGCCCATCGTGTAGTTTGGCGCTAAACAAGAAACAAACAACCCGTCCACTTATCATAGAAGATAGAAAGTTATCGATATATCCCACGGAGAAAAATTGGTAAAACAGACACATTTCTGTCATAAATATGTATAAGCCAGTAGTTTACTTCAATTTAAAATCTGGTTTGTCTTCGTTGAGTAAATTACATCATTAATTCGGGCTTACAGTCCTAAAACACGCGTTTAGACCTGCTGAAACCCAAAACACATTCTGGATATACCGAAATCCATAACACAGGTGGACATGCGGAAACTTAAAACACGCTTCTGGACATGTAGAAGCCCAAAACCCGCTTTTAGATTTACTGAAACTGCAAACAAATACAGATCGTTATACACAACTATACACAGATGAGACAACGTAATTATCTAATTAAATAAAACACTTATTTCAAGGCTTATAGAACTGACTTACTACAGATATAACGATTTTTTTATTCGTAAATAACATTTGGTGAGATCAAATTTGTTTGTTTTGAACATGCCGATCCCCGTGTGATCTTGATCCGCAAGTAAGAGTCTTGCACACATCACCTGCTCACTTGTGGCTCGTGGTTTTAATTTAAATAAAATAACTGTTTATTATTCTCTACAAAGCCTTATCTAAACAAAGTATTTATATCGAGAAGAAACTAAAAAAAAAAACTTGTATATTTGAAACAAATAATGTCGCAGTTAGCGTTACTCCTTTATGGGCGCTTGTTTATAAACTTAAAAAAGGGATGAATTTCCTAATAAACAATAATCAAGCTTTTGATCGGTGATTGGGCCTTGACAGATTTATCATTTTAAACCAATCACGGCGAGCGTTATATTTCGGTTTAGACAGTTTAATCATTGTAGAGCAAGCACGGCGAGCTTTATGTTTCGGTTTGGACAAATTTATCATTTTAAACCAATCACGGCGAGCGTTATATTTCGGTTTAAACAGTTTAATCATTGTAGAGCAAGCACGGCGAGCGTTATGTTTCGGTTTGGACAAATTTATCATTTTAAACCAGTCACGGCGAGCGTTATATTTCGGTTTAGACAGTTTAATCATTGTAGAGCAATCACGGCGAGCGTTATGTTTCAGTTTGAACAGTTTGATCATTCTAAAGCAGGGGTCACCAAACTACGGCCCGCGAATTCAGTTCATCCGGCCCGCCGCTGCACTGTGCCACAAATGAGCTAAAATAAAATTATTTATATGAAAATATCATAGATTGTAGATAAACTTACTATGTAAAAAAATTAAAGTAATTGTAAGTAAAAATGTTCAAATTTGTCCAATCTGAATTTTCATCTGACAGTAATATAAGCTTTAGGAAAATCAGTGAAATAAAAAATTCGGCAACTTTGGACATCAGAGCGCTTTTTGTGTAAGTACCTGCAATGAGAGTTCATTCCTACAGTCGCCTCTGATAACTGAACTTCCAAGTATTTTTTCTTAATTTTTTCTCCATCTATTGAAAGATAACTGAACTTACAAGTATTTTTCCTTATTATTTGTTTCTCCATCTATTGAGAGATAACTGAACTTCCAAGTATTTTTTCTTAATTTTTTCTCCATCTATTGAAAGATAAC